GTGGGATAAAGTTTGTAAGGATAGGAAACAAGGGGGGATGGGTATTAAAGACCTTAAGATGTTTAATTTAGTGTTGTTGGGGAAATGGTGGGCGAGATTAGTTAATGAGCAAGGAGGCTTATGGAGAAGAGTGCTCTTAGATAAATATGGAGGGGAAGGAGGAAGCTGGGGAGAATGGATAACAGAGGGGCAGAACAGGGGATCCAGCTGGTGGAAAGATATTTGCAAAATTAATGAGTTGATTGAGGGGAAACGGGATTGGGTGAAGTCGGGCTTTAAGTTGGTTATAGGAGATGGTGCTAAGGTCTCCTTTTGGAGACAAGTGTGGGTGGGACCTCATAGCTTAGAAGTAATGTTCCCTCGATTATCTTATCTTTCCATAGATAGACAAAGTACGGTGCAGCAAATGGGAGAATGGATAGGTGGTTCATGGAGATGGAGATTAAAATGGAGGAGAAGATTATCAACAAGGGAACAGGACCAAGAAACACAACTTCGGAGCACCATACAAAATGTGCAAATTCGAAAAGACGCCGACAATAAATGGTGGTGGAGATATGAAAAAGACGGTGAATACACAGTAAAATCAGCATACAAGATGCTAACAACAACAGAAGAAGGGGATGAAATCAAATGTCTTAAGAGATGTTGGAACTCGACAATCCCATTGAAAATCTGTGCTTTTAGTTGGCTGTCAGTGCTTGGACGTACACCTTGCAAGGTAAAACTCATGAAGAGAAATATCATTAGACAAGAAGCAGATGCTAAGTGCAGTTTCTGTGCAGAAATAGCAGAAAATGAGGACCACCTACTACTGTGCTGTGATTTTTCAAGAAAAGTTTGGAACAAAAATCTCGCATGGTGGGAAATCAAGTATGTCATGGCCAGGAGTTGTAAGGATGCTTTTCTCCAACATAGCTGGGCGGGTAGAAACCAAAAAGGGTGGCAGGTGATATGGTATGCCAGAATATGGGCCTTATGGTCAACTCGGAACCGTAGAATTTTTGAGGCAAAGCAAGTGTCCATTGACGAAGTGTTCCACATGGTACAATACAACTCTTACTGCTTGATAAAGAGCAAAATTGAAGGCTGGACATACTCTTTTGCGGACTGGTGCAATGCTCCAAGTAGATGCCGAATAGTAAAAGTTCCAAAACCAAGATTGATAGAGCTTGAGCAAGGTGAGCTGATATGATGTCTGCAGTAACACCATATGAAAGTGTTTTTTAAACAGTAGGGATTTCCCGTGCCAGTGGGTTTGATGATCAAAACAGTGAGATGTGGAGAAATTGCAAAAAAGGACAGAAAACCCGACACGGGTGTGGTGTCGATACATAAATTTGGTGTCGACACCATACGGTGAGCACCAAGAACTCCGACACGGACGTAGTGTTGACACACAATTTTGGTGTCGACACCATACAGATGTAAACTTATGCTTTTCCAGTTGGGATGTTAATGGGTTTGGGGTACCCCTTGTACTCCGTTTTTTAATTAATATTACTTTTGGCTGTTCAAGAAAAAACTGTGTAGTCTTGTTCAAGTAAATGGCACTCTAATTATCACAAAACAAAACAGAACAAACTTCTCTTTTTTAAGACCCAACTTTTCAAGAAAAGTCTTCGCCTACATAATCTCCTTTCTAGCTTCAGATAAAGCTATATACTTAGTTTTCATGGTAGGCAAGGACACATGATTTTGTAGTTTCTGAAAGCGTTCTAGCAGGTGCCATCCACCACAATTGATATTCCCAACCATTGAAAGCACCTAGCCCAAACAGGTGAGCAGAATTCTCAACCTCCTCCCTACAGAAATTGCACTTAATTAATCAACTCATTCTCAGTAAAAGATCCTTCTATGGAAGAGGTTTAATTTTGTTGGATATCTATAGTGGATCAATTGCCAAGTAAATGCTGCCCCTTTGTTCAGAATCAGCTTGTTCCGAACTCTTTTAAATATATACATGCTTATGCTTTCCCTCTTAGACAGTAGATAGAGCCTCATATCCTGACCTTCTTGAGTGTATGTCATCCGTTGAGTGTCTCCATAGGCCATTTGTTCTTCTTATTTCTTGTCGGTTGAACATTGTTAAGTCTTTCCAGCAGCTCACTTACTTGTTCTTCTTCCCAAGAGAAAAGAGGCCTCCTCCACTGTAAGCTCCAACTCCATGTATCGACTGACCATACTCCCATTTGGCAAACTTTATTGTCCTTCCCTGTTGATAATGAGAATAATCTCGGAAACTGCTAGCAGCCTAGCACCCCTTCACCCAACTAGTCGTCCATCCAAAAGCCGACATTAACACGTTCACCTAGACATGTTCTAAACCCCTACATCAGCCATCTTTCCTTTTCCTCTTCTATGGAATTTAAGCTGGACACATTCTTCCACTATCTTGATCCTACTCTTCCATCCTCCCTTACCCAATTTAACCAATTACCTCCTCTCTTTCCATATTTACGTTACTTATTCTAATTAACAAGCAGCATTAATCGCATGTGTTGACTATTTAACTATTTAATATTTGAAGATTCGTCTATATATTTAATTATCACTCATGTGTCTTGGTATATTGCTGATTTTACCTTTAAACGAAAAGGTTTCTAGTAGTGTTCTAAGGAAGTACAAATTCATATTCTCGCTCATTGGTTGTTATTCAAACAGGCCATTAAGCTCAATCAACCACTTTACGTTTGCAGCATTGAAATTCATTGAAGAGGAATATAAATATAAATGGTTAGTGAGTGGGTTATAGTACGTGAGATGGAAAGCATTAATTAGTAGTGGACGGACTAATATTCAATATAGATTCTAGTGTTGGACCTGAGACAATACAGGTGCAGATGACATGATTGTCCCCAATTGGATCGGACTTATTCTATTTTTGTGTTCATGAGTCATGGCTCATCCTTTTTATTTGGGTCAAATCTAATGTGACTCAAGGGCATATTTTAAAGTGCTCCAATCCACGGTCTCTAAAATGGTATGTACAATAGATTAATACAAATTCTTAATAAAAAAATTTTTTAGAGTAATTAATTAAATTATTGATAAAAAAAAATACTCTTTAACTTTTTATAAGTAAGGTTTGAATCCTCCTTTCTCTCACCTACCTACTCCTCTCTTCATAAAGATTTTTAACTAGTTAGCCTGTCTCATAAAAGAATTATATATAAATTGTTAATCCACAGCAAAAGTTAGGTACTCATCGGTTATTAGCAGAGACAGAGAACAAAAGATAAACGGAATGTATAAGGGCCAATCATGATAGATATATAAGTGCTGGCGTAATTTACTTGAAAACTTTTTAAAAGGTCAAACCCTTGATGGTTTTTCAATTATCAATATACTGTGCTAAGCTAGGAGAGATTTTGAATAGTTGATGTGAACCATGCTGGAAGTATAAATTTGAATATCTCTATTGCTATTTGTTTCAATAAGAACAGTCCCTCCAAACTTAGGTAGATTTAATATATCCATATTTATATATACAGCGGTATCTTTAAGACTACCAAGATTTAATCTCTGAATATTCCTGTTATAAAATTAATTAGCATGCAAATACTCAAAATGGAGTCGTCAGATATAAAAAATGCTGAAAGAGTGCCTGCTTTCAAAAATATTTAAAATAAAAAAATGTACTACATATTAAAAATATAGTTCACTTTACAAATTTATTAAAATATTTTAAATAAAATTATTTTATTAAAATAAATTTTTTAAGAATATTTTATATTATTTTATTTAAAATATTTTAATAAATTTGTAAAATAGACTATACTTTTAATATATAATTCATATTATAATATATTAATCTAAAGAATTTGCTTTCATAAATTACTAATTCAAGTGCATGCAATTTATTTTTCGTTTCAACATTAAACATTTCTTAAGTTAGCTTACATCACTTTGCTCCACATGTCACTATCTACACTACACAGAACAGCTATTTCAAAATAAAAAGCAAAGAATTGGCCTTTTATATGACTTTCATTTTTTTTTTTTTGAACCAGATAATTTTTTACAAATGTTCTTATTTACTATGAGGATAGGGGAAAGGGATCCCAGGAATCGAACATCAAATTCAAGTGGTGTTTTCAATAAAAGGCAAGTGGCCACTTGACTCAAGCGTGTAGAACTTAAATGGCTTTCATTGGAGCATTAGAGATTGGTGTAGTGCACGTTGTAGTTTCAAAATTGTTTTTAGCAGATATGTTTAAAATTTTAGTTTTTAATTAATATTTAAAAAAATATCAATTTTTAAATTAAAAATTTTATTTATATGAATTATATATGTCAATTTTTATATTAATTTAATATTTATAACCTTTTAATCAAATAAATTATAATTATTAAACTTTATTTACTAGTGTTAAATTTTATGTAATTAATAAATTAATATTTAGATTTACGAGATCAATTTAAAAATTAATATGCATGATTTATATAAATATAATTTTTAATCTCACAATTAATTTTTAAAAATAAATTTTTAAACAAGTTCTATAAATAAATTTAAAAAAACCACTTATAAGATACTTTTCTCTATATATATAAAATGTAAAACACTTTTCTATATATATATAATAAAATGGTGAAGAGAATAGGTAATACAAAAATGAAATTACTAACACAAGATCAGAAATCCAATTCGCCCTGGTGGGTGGATAATCGCTGGACCTCATTCCTTCTATTCTTTACACAAAATTCTCCTCACCATAAACTCCTATCTGTGAAAGCAACCCCACAGACTTCAGGAATCCACAGTATAGAA